TGACCAACTTAGTACCTAGCGGACCATTGAAACTAGAAAACTGGCATATTGAAACGGTTGACAAATACATATATCTGGGCCACGAAATACAAATAAGTAGAGACAACCAAACATGCGAATTATCTAGAAGAATAGCTTTAGGATGGGCAGCCTATGGCAAGCTAAAAGACGTGTTTAAGGAAAACATCCCAATAAAGCTAAAGAGAAAAGCATTTAACCAGTGCGTACTTCCGGTGCTCACTTATGGAGCTGAAACACTGACATTGACTAAAGCATCAATAAAAAAGTTACAAGTAGCACAACGAAAAATGGAAAGATCTATGCTTGGCGTAACTTTGAGAGACCGAATACGAAATGATGAGATACGGCGAAGAACTGGAGTGGAAGACGTCATAAAACGGATTATGAAGTTGAAGTGGAAATGGTCAGGACACGTCGCAAGACAGAGAGACAACAGATGGACAAAAAAGATTTTAGAATGGCGGCCAAGGGCAGACAAGCGAAATCGTGGAAGACCACCTACCAGATGGACGGACGACATTAAAAGAATAGTGACAAACGATCGCAGCTGCACAGGACAGAGAAGAGTGGAGACATTTTGAGGAGGCCTATGTTCGACAGTGGACAAATTTGGCTGTGTGATGATGCTGATGATGTTAGATATATGAAACTAGTAACACAATTTGGTTTTAGAAATTTGGCAATTTGGCTTTAGAAATGGTATATTTAGAAGTGGATGCTTTGTTCGGCTTAAATGTGCTGGCCCAGAGATGCATGGATATGAATCAAAACATTTACTTATGTTTTGTAGATTTTGAAAAGGAATTTGATAAGGTTAAGGATAAGAAGCTTGTAGAAATATAAAAAGCACAAATATTGACAGTCGTGATATGAAAATTGTATCTAATCTGTATTGGAATTAAACTGCCAAAATAAGAGTTGACAACCAGAACACCTGAAATATCAAAATACAGAGAATGGTCCGCCAGGGTTGCATGCTGTCTCCACTACTCTTCAATGTCTACAGTGAAGCGGTATTTAAAGAAGCGCTCTCAGATTCAGTAGAAGGTATATCTATTAATAAAGTTTGTGATTACAAACTTTCATTTTGTAAACGATACAGTGATAATGATGGATAAATACAATAATTTACAGAACGTAATGCAACGTAGTGAATGCTGCCATGAATACGGACTAAGGATTAATTAAAAAAAACTAAATGCATGACCATGACTAAATCAGCAGATGAAAACATTAAATTGATTGTTGAGGATACTATAATTGATAGTGTGGATACCTGCAAATACTTAGGAACATGTATAACACCAAATTTAGACCAAACCAAAGAAATTAAGACACGTGTTGAAATAGCACGACCATCATTAGTTAAACTTAAAAAGTTTCTTTGTTGTCGGGATATAAAGTTAGGAGGTCTAAGGTCTACGCTTAAGAATGCTTCGATGTTTTTTATTCACTCTCTCATTTATGGCTTGCAAGCATGGATATTAAAACAAGTGCACACAAATAAGTTCACCGCCTTTAAATTTTTATTCTACAGAAGCATCCTACGAATATCATGGACTCAAAGAATGTCAAACACAGAAGTTACTAATACAATAGGAAATGAAGCTAAAATAATATTGATTCAAAAGAAGAAAACTTGATTACTTAGGCCATGTTATGAGAGGGTAAAGATTCTCATTATTAAAGCTTATTATGCAAGGCAAAATTCGAGGAAAGCAAAATGTGGAAAGACGAAGAATATCGTGGCTTAAGAACTCAAGGAAACGTTTTTAATGCAGTAGTGTAGAGCTATTTAAAGCGGAAGTCAACAGAGTCCACATAGCTATAATGATTTCTGACCTTCGATAAGAGATAAAACTTAAAGAAGAAGGTTCTGTTTCGTTATTTCCCCTGCCGTTCTATTCGGTTTTGCTAGGTTCGGTTCGTTTTCGTTCGTTTCGGTTCGTTTACGTACAATTAGCTTCCGTTATATTTTGCTTATTTCTTCAGTTTGGTTGCGTTTATTTCTGTTTTGATTTGTTTTGTTTCATTCGATAAGGTTTCGTTTAGTTTAGTTTCGCTTAGATCTGTTTCATTCTGACTTCATCAGATACAGTTTGTATCACATCAGCTAGGTTAAATCCGATTCAGGTCCGTTTTTTTTTTGTTTCGTTCAACCTTATTCCGTTGTCTAAGTTCCGTTTGTTTCAGTTCCATTTGGTAAGCTTCAGTTTTTGTTCATTTCGGTTTGATTCGAATGGTTTTTTTCCTTTTGGTTCTATTTGTTAATTTAGTTTTATCCAAATCGGTTTATTTTCATTCGGTTTGTTCTGTTAGAATTGTTTCTGTTACGTTCCGTTTCGTTACGCTCCCTAAGAAATACTAGATTATCATAACGACACTTGCTGATTTTAGCAGTAAAGTTTCCCATAACTAGTGGTACCATAATTTATTTAAGACTTTCTATAAATAGTAATAAAAAAGACTCTATTACCAAATATTGTCCGAAGTAATGTAATTATTGATGCTCGGATATTCTGGCATTAGACCATCGAATTTCACTGATCCAAATTAAAATAATATTCAGTGTCTCTATTTCATGAGCGGTATTGTGGTTTTGCCTGCCTCGTACATGTTCTTAACGCTCCAAAACGTTCCAAGTGCATATTTTAATAATCTTTATAATGTTTTCAAAATTCACCAAATTTAACTTAAAGATGCAGTAGCAGTAAACAAACCAAGACACATTATCAACATTATGAATATTACGAGGAGCAATCCAAAATCATGATTTACAATGTATAAACGTACATAATATCCACCTCATAAACTATATAAATAGACATCGTATACGAAACTCAAGTATTAATAGCATACCATATCATTTAGTACTCCTTTTACGCAAAAGAATTGCTATAACTTAGTTGGACCACTGTTGTTCTAATGATAATATTTTAGCCAGGGCGTGCGTCAGGGAATTATAGTGCTTGAATTTATTTATTTATAGTTATAATAAATGTTATCATTTATCTTTTATGATCAGAAGAATAACAAAGATAAAATCAAATTAATAAATGTTACAATGAAGTTTTCCAACAACATAATAATGTAAATTTGTTATTGTGATGCATTGAATTAATAAAATTAAATTAAATATTTAAAAATGGTTTTAAAATTAAATGTAATATCTAATGGCGGTTTCCCACCAAACGGACAAAATAAAAACAAAACACAAACTCGTGTCTAATAAAACAAAATGGCAGCTTTTCACAAACTTTTTAAAAACGGACGTGTTTTGAAACAGTTCGTTTTTTTTTTCGAGTCCTGAGTTTTTGAAACTCGAGTCTGTTTAGTGGAAACGGTCATTTGCGTTTATTAATGGACTACCTCACCTCGGAAGTCACAATGGGTGGGGCTTCGAAAACCTTTCTAAACAGTTCTACACTAAATACAAGATAGAGCTGCAGTAAGTATAAATAAACCTTCAACAGTATTAATGTTACGAGGGGCACTCTCAAATCATGATTTTAACTATGTATAAACCTATATTTTCCTGTAATATGAAATACATATGAAAATATGAAGTAGACATCGTAGCACAAGTTGCGGTCGACCGTATGATTTATAGTCATTATATTTATAGTGATTATTGACTCAAGCAAGGCCTCTAACATGCAACATAGAAAATGAAAGGGGAGGGGATAACGATTACATTAAGATAGACAAAACAAACAAGATGACTACCAAAACGGCACTACCCAGCATCTTCGTTATTAATGGACGTATAGTTACATACAAAATATTATAGGACGCTATAGATGAAAATAGATTTACTATAAGACAAATTTTGATTTATTGAATCAAGGAAGGCCTCTGGTTGAGTTCAAAATAAACAACTGATTGAATGCTAACATTCAGCATAGAAAATGAAAGGTAAGGGGATAAAGATTATATTACGATAGACAAAACAAAAAAGACGACTACCAAAAAGACACTACACAGCATGTTCGTTATTAATGGACGTATAGTTACATACGAGATACCATAGGGCACTAGGGATGAAAATAAATTTACTATAGGACAAATTTTGATTTGTTGACTTCAAGAAGGCCTCTGGTTGACTACAAAATAAACAACTGATCGAATCCTAACATGCGACATAGCAAATAAAAAGGGACGATATAACGAATGTATTAAGATATGTAATTAATTTTCTATCTTAATATTGGTATTCGTTTTATCCTTGCCTTTCATTTAGTATGTCGCATGTGAGGATTCGATCAGTTGTTTACCTTGTACTCAGTCAGACACCTTTTCATCCATAGTGCACTGTGATATCTCGTATGAAACTATACATCCATCCATAACGAAGATGCTTCGTAGTGCCCTTTTGGGTCGCCCTGTTTGTTTTTTTTTATCCTTAAGTAATCGTTATCGCTCCCCTCTCATTTTCTATATCGCGTGATAGGATTTGATCAGTGTACGGTTTTGCTTTCGTATTAAATTATTAAAACAATGTGTACAATTACAGTTTTGTTTACTATGAATAATAAATGTAAAATATGCAATGTTAGTATGGTTTTCAAGGAAGTTCAATGCAGCAACTTAAAATATTTGTTATAAACGAAAATTTCATATTAAAAAAATTATACTAAAAAAACAAAAGTTAACGCTGGTTTAAATTGTGAGAATGGTGATGCCTATGTTAATTAGTCATTTTCTATTGATTTTACAGTTGCTACTTGTTTTAGCAAGAATCTTTGAGTCTAGGCTTTCAGTTGGTTGCGTAACACAATTAGTGGACGTTCCTTAAATCGTTGTACTTATTTTTTACTTTTATTTCCTATATTGGTTCTTAGTTTTTAAATACCTATTAGTATTAATATTCGTATTTTATTCTTGTGTTGTCCTTTCAAGTAAGTATGGTGTTTTTATAGATTAACATTCATATAATTATTTTTAAATATCGGCAGGTTCAATTTAAAAAAAAAACAAATATGTCCAGCACCGATACAGCTGACGAGGTTGCCAAAATAAGTCTCAGTCCTCCAAGAAAACCAACAAAAAAGTCCCATCTCGATGTCAAAACCAAAGAAATTATTTTAAATATTTATAAGTGTGAAATAGAAGAAAATCCTACTCTAGCAATAGATGAGTCGATAATAAGAGTTGCACATAAGTCAGGTGTGTGCAAGCGAAGTATTTATAATATACCCAGAGAATATAAAAACACTCACACATTTTCAGAGCCAAAAGTTAGTCGAACTCGCAACAAAATAATCGATTTACTGGTGATCGGATCACGTGAGTTTTATTGTTTTTCAAATAAAAACTGAAAACATCATAATAAGTTACTACTTTTGATGCGAACTAACACACAGTTTACTTTAAAAAATAAGTGTATTTGATGTTTCGATTTCGATCATTTAAGTGTCAAAACAACGTTGAAATTACTGCTTTATTATTTTTGTCAAACCATAAGTTTCTTTTTATTTTACAGTAGGGAAGCTAATTTTGAATTTTCTTGAAAATAATACTAACTTTGTATATTTTATCTTCGATGTTCATAGTAAACAAATCTTTAATTGTACATACTGTTTTATTAACCCAGATATGCCTGACGTACAATAAATTGTACACCACAAATATGTTTTAACTTGATTATCTAAAAGTATCATATTTGAAATCATGAATGTGTTGCTTGTGTGAGTCCATTTCAAATAGGTAAAGAAATAATAAATAAGACTTACTCACAATCAATTTAATTCAACTATCAGACGACCGGTTTCGCTTTCTATAATATGCAAAGCACCTTCAGGTCTCGATACAAAGTTAAATAAATGCTGAAATGATAAAAACCCATATTAGGGTGTTGTCTAATGGATAAACAAATTAGATGTTGTAAATTACAATATGTATGCCAATATTACATGTCTGTGGTTTTAATTTCAAAATGGGTAAGTTGAATAAAAAGGTATAAAAAGTTTTAAAAGTTTAAACAGACAAGGTAAGACCCACAAATTGTTATAAAATAGTCTATTAGATTGTAATAAATTAATAAATGAGCAAATAAATAAACATTACTTACATGCCGGTACTCTATTAATTAATGGATGGTAGAACATGGTTGAAACTACTATGTATTGTTGAATGGAGAACTCAATTTTGCTATTGTAGTTGTTTGACAGTAAACGGGAAGTTCTTGAGGAGATAGATTTGAACCAATGAAGCAGAGATATGTGTGTGATTGTTTGTTAAATGAAAGTGATGTTATATACCGTTGTATTATTTAAAAGTTATTTATAGTTATTCGAGAGATATATTTATGAAATGTGTGTTATTTATTGAGTAATTGTTTTATGAAGGTGACAGTTTTATGACAATGAATAAGTTTAGATGTACAAATTGTGTGGGTGTGCAATTATTTTTCAACTTGTAATTATCACATTTCTTTGATAAAGTTCTATTGGCAAAATAGTGGATTATTGCAAAGTCGAGTAAATAAAATATTAGAATTAAAACAATAATTAAGGACAATAGAAAACACACTAAAACAGAAAACACTTAGAAGGGACAAAACAAACATTAAATTTAAAAGGAGAAGGACTTTTATGCACTACATCTTAGTCTTGGGCACAATGAGTTTATTTATGATGTTATCTATTAGATTTTAGTGGTAAATTTGACAGATGTAGGTTAGCATGTGACAGTTCTTCTTCTGTTTCTCAATTTTGTAAGTTAAGTTATCTAGTTTTATGAAATATGCTGATATTATTGAATGTCTATAAATTGTTTCAATTAAGATATCAAAAGTAAATTGATGTGTTTAATATTGGCATACTTTAACAATCTTTAATTAATTAAATCTAAATGTAACAATACGAATAATTAAAATACATCCCACATTATAACTAACTCAGTCCAATGTCCAAATTACTGAACAAATTAAAGTGATTCTTTGGCAACTAAAGATGTACATTTTATAATCAAACGTATAACAAATTTACAAAAATGTTTTTATTTTTAATTTGAAATTATTTTTGGTGTGAGTTATCTTGTCATGGTGTTTATAAATATTTTAGATATTTAATTCAAATTCTGATATATTAATATGTAACCAAAGTAACAAGTGAATAATTATTGATGGTAATTAATTTATGGGGTCAAGAAATTGACTGAATTATAAAGCCTTCAATAATTAGTTGGTAGTTCTAATATCTGACAGTTGGAACCGGAAATTGTTATACGAACAGGTAAAAAGATCCTTTATTTAAACCGGTGTAAAGTAACTTTATTCTTATTTCAATTTTTCGTGTCATATGAACAGATATTCCTCATACCGACATGAACAATGGTGAGTTTGTACAATTGTTTTAAGTAACACTTTAAAATTTTTTTAAATAGTAGCTGTTTATGAAAGTTAATATTTCTATTTGGAATGTAAATTTGTGTACGATTGTGAATAGTAAAGATGTATTCAATTAATACAGCTAGTCTGAACGATTTACATGTTATGTTGGAAATTCTCAAACCACGTGTTGAGTTTGAAATCAAAAATTTTTTGTAAGATGAGTATATTTCGGAACCAGATGGAATGTAATAATAATTGTGGGTTAAATAAGTTGAGGTATCATACCAGTTCAATACTGATATCTAATGTAGTTTTTAGAAAAAATATTGTTTCTGGTAATATGTTAAAGAAATTCTGTGAACAAAGAATTGGATCCATGGGCACCAGATTTTAATTTTGATGTAGAAGATTTAAATAATCTAAGAAGTGTATCAAATGCATCTGATTATATATGGGATTCTGGAATAAATGTTGTTTGACCATAATATTGAAGTTACTTCTAAAAATATGTGATGATAAAGGATACTATATGGAAATCTAATATGATAAGTTGATGTTTGGTCAACAATTCTATAAGTTTGCTGTAGAAACAAGAAATGGAGTAGGATCAGGTAATATAATTTTTTTATATTAATACTGAGTATACTGGTGTGTATTCCAGTTCCAATTGTGCATTTAGTGTAACTGCTGTGTGATTTTTTAATGATTTTAGAATTTCTAAATGTTCCAGGTTATTTAATAAGGAGCCTTTATTACAAGTATGAATCACATGTATATGAAGTATAACAATCCTTCATACTGGTAATAAAGGCTCCTTAATAAATAACCTGGAACATTTAGAAATTCTATTAGAAATTCTTTATGAATTAACCAAGAAGGATGTTTATAACGATAATATAGAAAAAAATACATAACTCTTATCAAAAAATATTGAACTTGCTTGTGATTGATTTTGAATAAAATTATAATATTAAGTGCTACTGGCAGCATTTAAAAATTCCCAAGTAATACATTACATCATCACGCGATTATCGGATTTCCCAAGAATATTCTTACAAATAAATAATATAGTGGTAAACAATAGTACTCGCAAAGTTTGCCATATTAATAAATATAAGTTCGGAGTGAAAATGTACACTGCTAATTTTTTGGTGTGGTTATTATTCTTTTATTTAAATCTTGAAAAGGGATATTCACGTGGTAAGTGACCATAAAAAAATATTATTTGTGCATAATGATTATTTACTATAAAAACCACTGATACTTTGCAGACAAGTAACACATTTTTTTTTTAATTATGTAGGTATATCTTAGTATAATTCAATAAATAGGAGATAGGTGACAGTTCACTTTTTTAAATTACATAATTTGTTAATTTGCCTTTTTAACGATCAATTGTATATATTTTTTGGCCACTATTGTGTATAATATGTACGATGTGTCTGGGTACCTACACGCTAACTTAGGTACACAAATAAAAAAGTTAGATACACGTGAGACAAACTTCATCAAGTTAGTAACGTCATTATTTAGCGTGCGCTGTGATTGTATTTTTCGTATAGTCACAGAACACTAATCACAACCAGAAGCGAAAGCTTTGTCGGAACCTTTGATGTTGGGAGGACAGAAATTCAGAGTGACAGTGGCAATGAAGCTACATTTGATTACACGAAGAAAAAGAGTGAGGAAGTCGTTCAAAACTGTAGTAAATGATAGTTACACTGAGAAATGAAGTAATCATTTTTAAGTAATCTGTTTTGTATGAATTTTATTTTTTCTGTAAAATTTAATATAACTTGTATATCAATTCTGAACTGATAATTAAAAAGTTGTTAAGTCAAAAATATCGATTTGTTTTTTTTTTTTTAACAAACAAATTAATGTACTAAAAGTATTTTTGTTACGTTAAAAAACCAATTGAATTTGAGAGTTAATTTTAAAATAGAGATGAAAAGCTTGATTTCTATTACATTTTATCGTTTTTTTAAGGTTAATAAAACACTTCATCACTCAAAATCTATATTTTGACTCAAGACTTTTTTACTGATCAATACAGAATTATACTTTTGAAATTTCTATTAACTTTGTCTTAAGTTGCTGACTTTTTTGTTTCCTGTTGAGGAATTTCTTTGAATGTGAATATCTATTAACCTCCAACACCACGATATTTTCGCTGCGCTTAAAAACTCTGCAGCTGCGGCTAGAATGACTGTATATAAAATGACCTTAGATTTCTTTCTATGCATCTGAGGTCTCTGAAACTTCTGGTTTTATTGTAGTAAATTCAACTTGCCAGGACATATTAAATTTATGGTAGGAAAGGGTAAAAAGTTGTAATAAAACAGAATAATAAAAATTTATTGTAATTAATATACACGTATACCTCTTCGATTTCTCTTTCTGTGCATCTGAGGTCTCTGAAACTTCTGGTTGTACAGTACTACATTTATTGTAATTAATACTAATAATAATGTATATTTAGGAAGCTTAGATTATAATATAGATTTACAAAAAATAAGCATACTTAACACTAAATAAATATGAAAAATCACTGAAATCGAGCTACCATAAAAGTAGCACCCCTTGTGTGAGATACTTAAAAAATATATGTGGAAAAAAGCAAATATTTAACAAATGTATTAATATAAACAGTTACATATGCCTAGACCCTAAGGTACGAGTGAGATATTTCACCTTTAGTTAATATTTCTTCAAATGAAGAACAAAACATTATTTCTAATTTATAAATATATTGTACGAAGTCCTTACTTGGAGTTCTCAGTCTCCCATAATCACATTTATCAATATTGTACGCTTTAAAATGTGTCAATAA